AAACCCTGCAAATCTTAGACGCCGTGCCGTATCCCACAGCGCCCGGCCGCGGTGCCTTGTCCCGCTTCAGCAGCTGCCGCACCCAAGTGATGGAAGAGGCAGTGGTTCCTCCACAGACACAACACGCAGCGGACACGCTGGCAATGCGCCAACGTGTTTAGCTGCCTAACAATGGCCAACACGACAAGAAACAAATGACCCGCTTAAGGAGAAACAGTCGCGCCGAGGGGCTTGTTTGAAGCGCGCGCTTGGACAACTGGATGTCGAGCAACGACTGCGTGCTGTAGAGCTCCGTCTTGCCATTGTTATTGAGCACTAATCTCCTTGCCACCAGGTCGCACTCCACATTGACGGTGCTGATGTTTGGGATGCCCTTGTCCTTGACGTGGACGGTGTAAGCTGTGTGCGCGATGTTAGGGACCAACCCAATGAGTTGAAGATCACCGGTTGTGCTTTGATTTTGCAGGGTCTCTAGCAGCTTTAGCATCTTATCAGCGTCATTGCCTATGATGTAAAGGGCCTTGTGCGTGGCCTTGTAGTTGGCCTTAGTCGTGAACCGCTCAAGGTGCTTTTGTATTTGCGGCATTCCGCTGGCAAACTTCACTCCCTCCATGACAAACTTGACCTCATCCATATGCACTGTAATGTCTGGCTTTCCGCCACCCCTTCTTGCAATTTCTGTGGCAAAAGGTTGATAGTCCATTTCACCCAAAACATTGCAAATGGCTTGGTTGTAATGGTTCTCAGCCGGAAGGCTATCCGTCTGGGCCAACGCACCCCCAAAGCTCACGACTTTAGAGAACGAAAGGTACGGTAAAGCACGCATCAACAGATCAGCACAGCTTTGGGGCCTGCTGGAATCGAAGCGAATCGTCAGCTGACAACTTGCTTTGAGGGTGTAAAGGTAGTACGCTGCCAACAAAGGATTTGCTACTCCGTATTCCACGCGCTCATTCTTCCAATCCAACTTCCGGAACTCGCCCGGTTTAGGTTCGGCAAGTTTGGGAACCACAAAGCCACTGATGGTAAGTTCCTTCCGAATGTTTGCTGGCAGTACTGATGAGCCCTCGGACAAGATCTGAACGAATTCTCGTGGCGTGTTTTGGGCTTCATAGCCTCCATTGACGCGCACCGCGCGGCTCTCGCGCAACTGACCTAATATCTCGTCGTCAGCGCAAAGCCAATCCCCATTGCCGTAACTGGTCCTCACCTGCTGAACAGTCTTTGAAAAGTCCCAGGCTCCACCGTCCTGTTGCTTGCTCTGCACCCAGTGCATCGCTGCAATAAAAATGCCGCGATGGCCTCCACAAAAGTGAATGAAGAACTCAATGCTCGCTTTGTCCAGGTTGATGCCACAATCTTGTAACTGGTCCCGGAGCTCTTGAGTGTAAGGCAGCGTTGGTGCCCACATGAACTTTTGTGTGATTTCCATCGGCGTAGCCACTGTGAGTCCGTCTGCTCTTTTCCATTCCCCCGACGCTGAAAATAGCAAAACCTTTGGCTTATAGTCTTTCTGGTTCTTGAAAAGACTTGTGCACAAATCCTCCGACGAAAAGAGTGTGTGGGCTTCGTCGTAGATCAAGATCAGACTCCCTTCGTACGCCTGCCTCAGAGCATTCCCAAAGGCTAAACTGTCTCTGACAATCTTCGCGTTGGTTGCTTTCTCCACTGCTTCTATAGTTCTCATCTTCCAAGCGTCTTCAGTACCACCGTCAGTGAAGGGGACATTCACGTATTTCCTGGGGAACTTGCCCGCCAGGTGCATTGCCAATGTGGTTTTGCCAGTTGCTACACCGCCTCGGATGAAGACGACATCATGGTCTCCTTCAAACAGATAGCTGATCTTCTCTTCATAGCCTTGCAAGGAAATGAAAAAATGTCGTGTTTCATCCGCAGCCTTTCCAATGGGTGGAAGCACGAGACATTTTCCACCGGGTATCCCCTTGCCTGAGCTTGGCACTGCCAATGCTCGATCTCCATGCAAACGAAGAAAGCACAAAGCCAGAGCTAACAACGCAATTTTGAAGGGCGCGGTTTTTGATCTTTTTTGCTGACGCACCATGGCATGGAGAAGGAAAGAACTTCTTTTGCACAAATCGTGTGCAAAGAACAATACTGTTCCAAAGTACACTCCATGTAGGGTCGCTTGTGGAATGGAATGCACAAATGTTTCAAAATTCAATCAATCTTCAGATCCAAAAACTGCAACGCAAACTACTGCAACAAGTTCACAAGTGCAAAGCATGCAGTGGTAAGCACTTCAAGCCAGCAAACACCGCCCTTTTAACTACCTCAGCACAGCTGCTCACAGAAAACAGACAGAACGATGGCGGACGCGAAGCCGTCTCATCTGACTTTGCGGCAAAAGCCCAAAGGACAAATCCAGCAGAAACTCAAGATTGAATTGAAAATTTAGGTGTGCAGAAACGATTTTTTAGAAACCAAAAAGGAAGATCAGTGCCGCCATTGAACGTGAAATCCAACTTTAAGAACCAGCAAAGGTGTAAATACAAAAGCGATTTTTTCGCTAAATCGCACAAGACTTCCGAAGTGGTACGGGTCAGCTGAGTCATGGTGATGATTAAAAGCAACAAAATGATTTTAAGGTTGTCGATGTCGTATTTCAAGGTTGTCGACCCAAACCAATGATCTCCAGTTTTGCAAGCAGGTGATCACCGAAGAAGTCTCAGTTTGCCGGGAAAAAGTGATTCTGAGGTTGAAGGATTGCAAAGTCGACCTGAAAACTGCACAGCAAAAACCAGACGACAAACATCAATGTCAATGCAAAACTCAAGTCAAAATTCGAAACACTGAATTTCTGCCATGGATGAATGTCCGAATTTGACATTCTAGAGCTTCCAAACCTCACCGGAACATCATATTCAAAATGACAAGAACCAAGAAGAAGAAAATCCGAACATTTGACAAATAACACCTCCTAACAAGCGACAAACACCATGGAACTCAAATTTCACATTTTTAAATCAGAGGTCAAAAGTTGATAGGCATCGCAAGCGATGCTGCTAGGATTCTCCTTTTTGATGGCCTTCGCAACGTCGCGGCTTGCCATCACAGACCACAGCAACAGACACACTCAGCTTTGGACCTTCTTCAATCGGGTCTGGGTTCAGGGTTCAGGGTTCA